GTCTCGCTGCCTTTCCAGCAGGCGCAATCGCTCCTGGGACCGGTCCAATCGCGCCTGGTCGCGCTCACGTGCTGCGCGGAGATAGTCGACGTGGGCGCGTTCGATGTCGTCGTCGCTGGGAATGCCTTGTTCGTCCGTCGGGGTGCCCAGCGTGGCGGCGAGGTTGAGCACGTCGTCGTTTACGGGGCTCTCGAGCTCGCGCAGGGCCGAGATGAAGGTGGGTTCCGCGTCGTCCTATTGAGCGGCTACGTCAGTCATGCACTTAGACCACGGCTATGTGACAACATGTGGAAGGGACGGCAACATCTGAACGTCAACGGGTGCTTACAGGCGAGTTGGCGGGCGGCATTATGACCAAGCAGGCGGCGCAGCGGGCATGGCGGAACGGAGCGATGGATGAGCTGTCGCATGCAATGCACGACGTCGGATGCACGATGTCTCAAGAGCAAAGGCGTGTCCTCGGCGAAAGTGACGCGACATGTCAAACTCTTAAGCCTGAGCCATTGCCCCGAAAAACCAAAGACAGCTCTGCTTGGTGAGCGTCACGGCACCTGATAGCGCACGCCATCTCGCCATGCACTTCCCCCGTTGTCCCGCTGCTGGCTTCCGCTCCGCCCTGCCAATAGTCGGCGCAGAGAGGCATGCCGCACAACTCAATGCATTCCTCGCTTGCCCCAGATTGCCCTCGTCCGTCCCGCGGGCATGGGTGGGTGGTCTGTGCGTCGACAATAACCTTAACTACCATCACATTGACGACGCTGGAGAAAACGTAGCCTATCTCATAGCAGGCAGTCAGCTATTGAAACAGAGCTAGGCAACAACTACTTTCAACCCGTACGCACTAGCACCCCAATCAAAACCCCATCACGGCAGTCGCTCCTTTCTCTCCAACCCCTCCAACACCACCATAATCCTTCCCACCAACTCCGCAAACTCCTCATGATCCCCCCACGTATAAGGCCCCAGCCTCGCCTTACTCGCCCGCACCAAATGCATCAACTTCCCCCTCAACTCCCTCCTCGGCTCCTCATTTGTACACATAGGAAACCTCAAATCCAAAAGCGCACTCTCCGCTGTGCTCACCATCGTCTTGCTACACCACACATGAACCCCATGCATAATCACATCCTCCAGACTCAGCGGCGCGTGCACCGTTCCCGGTGGCATAAGTAGTAAATCCCCTTTCTTGAGGTAAATAGGGAATCCGGGTTTGTTCGGTGCATACTGAAAACCTGCTTGTCGCGATACAGCCCATTGCTCGCGTTCGGAGGGGGAAAGCGACCATGTGAACCAGAGTTTCGAGCCAGACTCACACAAAACACCGGTGTAGAGGCCATGCTCGTCAACGTGAGGGAAAGACCATACGCCCCGTTTGCCCCAGAGCGCGAAACCAGTTTTACTAGAGAGATCGCTGGGGTTCGGGTCCGAGTGGTTGGACATGCCACCGTATTCCGTCGCTTCGGATAGTATGCTGTAGTCGGTGAGATTGTCGAGCTCCCAGGGTAATAAGTTTTGCCGCACGGGCCGGATGTCGAGCAGGTTTATCGGGAGGGCGGTTGGGTCGGACATGCGTTTTAGGGCGGTGGAGATGGTGAGCCGGCGGGTTATGTTTTTGGAAGTGAGGTCTTGGATGTCCATGTAAGCTTCAGCTGAGGCGTCTTTGCGGAATTTGAGGACGGCTTCGTAGTGTTGGGCAGAGTAGAGGGTGCGGAGCGTGAGGCTATTGTTCAGCTCGGAGGGGATGAGGAGGGGGATTTGGAGTGTCAAGCGCTGGAGTAGGTCGCGTGCTTCTGTTGAGGTGCATATTATGAGGTTGTTCTCCCAGTTTGGAGTTGACTGCTGGATGCGCAGCTCATACTCTTTTGCTGAGATGGGCACAACGTCTTCTCCGGTCTTGATCACGTCGATATAGCTTTGAGACTCTGCGATGAATCTTTTCTTCCGGGTTTGCGCGATACTGGACTCCTGCACTTGCGTATTCAGCTCCTCTAGCATACAGATACCGCGCTTCAGCGATGACATGGCGGTGGCAGGATATCTCCTAACGAAGTCCTCAGTCTCGACGGCTTGATGCATTTCCGAATAAGCACAAGAACTGACTTCCTCAAAAGGCTGGATAGTAGCCTCCGAGAGACGTCTCTTTTTGCGAGATTGGGCGCTGTTTGCCGCATCTTCTATACTCTTGTTAGTTGTCTTCAGGCCAGCAAACATTCTGACAATCACTGGATGTACTCCCGAGTCTACGTTTCCCCTTCGCTTGAACGTCGGAGAGTGCAGCCATAGTTATATCTACTTGACTGTTGCTTGTCACCCGTCTAAGCGCATTCTCGAACTGATGGCCTTATCAAGGACCTTCGCGAACATGTAAGACAACTCTATAGAGCCAGAAAGATATGACTGGCATGTTTCTCTAGTCACCAAGTGTCGAGGAGATCGAGCTACTCACTCGGTTACTCGACAAGCAACGCACTCGCGCTGAATTAATGTGCAGCAAAGCTTAATGTATAACAAGACGCTTACCAAATGGATGAGGATGTATTGCAAACATTCCACACCGTATATAGGCCGATCTGACCAAATAAACTCCGAGTATCGGCCTTTCCTTTACTTCCTCCATGTCATTCACGCCAGCCCCCTGACGTATCCCATGATCATTATTTGCTGAAGACGCAGTAAAAGAGGTGTCGCCGAGCTCTACTAGGCAGAAGTGTGATCAATTGGGCGAGGTCGGCTGTCACTGTCATTCACTGCCAAGACCACTTAGTGCCTCCCTTCTCTGTATAGATTCTCTAGCCCCGCTACTCTTATATCTCCTTATCGACGAAAGTATCTTATACCTCAGTTTTTAGGTCTACAGTTGAGAATACCCGCCATAGAAACCAGCCACAATAATCTCATACAACACACCTAGAACACGACTTGTGTGTAAGATCCAATGAGTGTTTTGCTTCTCGACCAGTTCTGACGGCTACAGAGACACGCGACGACTCATATCAAAATGTCCGACAACATAGTAGCCCCCACGCCTACTTCAAGCGCTTCTCTCAGCGATCAGAAGGTCCCCGGTGGTCTCGAGCACTTCCGCACCCTCGGTCCTATCCAACGCCAAAATCTGGTCATGAGCAACAAGGCCCAGCTTGTGGATCACCTAGATAACGCTATAATGTCCGGAAACAACGCCACCGAGTTACCGATCGCTCTCTTTGAGGCCGTCTCAGAGAAGCATGAATTGGTTGTCGATGGCAAGATTGAGGTTCCAGAGGGCATCAATTTCAAAGCTCTGAACTACCTGGTCTCTCTGGTACTAGCACTACCAACCGCGCCGAAGGTGTTCCAGTTCCAGAAGTATGTGGTGAGAGACTTTAAAGGACAACCCATGAAGGATGTTGAAGACACCTTCAAAGACCTACATCTTTGCTGCGCCGCAGATGCATTGGGTATCGGCTCCTTCACCCAAGGCATCTTCAACCACTTCTTTAGCCGTATCAACACCAAAGTTCCTCCCGCAGACGTCATCAACATCATCACCGCCGCCAACAATCCAACCGGAAACAAGCTGTTCAAGCAGATGGCGTATACCATGGCGACGAAACTCAACGATGGAACTTTCCCCGACCCCGAAGGATTGAAGCAGAAGTACCTCACGACCAATCCCCGTCTCTCCGAAACCATCGACCGCTTTCTCACCAACATCACGGAGACTGATGCTCGTAACGCTGAGTACCAGAAACGAGAGGCTGGACGGCAGCAGTTTGCTGCTCATAATGCACAACACGAAGCTTGGAAGGCGGCGGAGAAGGTCCGTAAGAAGCAACGCGAGGCAGATGAGGCTGCACGGTGGGCGGCAGCTGGCGTGTCGTACAGGAAGAAGGTCAGTCAGGGGAAGAAGAACTTCACGTTGCTAGAGGTGAAGTGGGCTGATAAGGTGGCTGGGAAGAGGGTATATCCTGGAACTGGTAACTGATGAGATGGGCGGCCTCGCGCGGAAGACATTTGCTGATATGGTCTGCGGCTTTCATCATGGATTCTTTCGGGATTGGCGAAGATGTGTATCTAGAGAACAAAGCTTTGGCTTTGTAGGCGGCAAGTGTATATTCATGAAAATGATGGTGAGGGAATGGACATCTTCGTGTGTTGAAGTTGCCCGACATGAGTAATGTGCACGTGCTCTTTCATTATGTCATCTGCAAAGGTCACGGAAAATTGACGCGACGCGCCGCGCTTGCTACACCACCGACACTCAACTCATCACTTCGCATCTATGTCCATCGCCCTGCTGCATATCATCCATCGATTGAATGTGTGTATTGCCATGGCGGGCGCGTCTTTCCCGTTGGCTGCACGCGCCAACAAATCTCGGGCGGTCATGGCCTATGCACTTGGAAAGGGCAACAGCGCCGCAACATGTTCATCGCACATCAGTCTCACGCAGCGTGCATGTATCGAGAGCCCCAGAGAGGTCAGGGGTAGGTAAAAGCGAACTGCGCATGTAATGTATGTGATGAAACACGAGACTTCCGCTCGAGTGTGAGCAAGACAGATCATGAGAGACACACAGCCACCTCATACAAGAAAAAAGCTGAACAGATCTAGAGCCTACATCGACGCCAGGTCACCTATCTTGTAGGTTTTCATGTTGATGTAGGCCGCAGGCCCGTTTGAAATTTCTTCTTAGTTGACTTGCAGCCCCAGCAACGCGTGTGGAATGTCTTACATTACCCCCGCATGAGACGTGATTTCTGGGATCTTTCACTTGCTCTTGCTCAGGTCGCGTGTTTACGCGCTAGTGTCTGCTAGTCCAGGCGACACACTCACGCATCGCTCCTGCTCAAACAAACTCAGTCGCCTGCCATCGATCTTCTCCGAATTCCTTTTCAAAGCTGCGACTCCCAACTCTATCGCCGACTGAGCACCATCGTCTAGGCGTCAACCCCCGGACACTCCATTGCAAACGGTGTCGACCAGCCGTTTGACAAACTTCTCCGCTCACGGCAGCCACGATGGCCAATCTTCTCGATCTTCCCGTTGAAGTATTCCAGATGATCACCCACGACCTAGTCAGCAGTGCGATCGGCAACGTCACCGTCCCTTACCAGAAATCTCGTATTAACGACGTCTGGAAGCTGAGAGCTGTTTGCCGTACCTTTGCTGCAGAGATCGAGCGCAATGTTTTCTCTCAGCAGCCAAAAGAGTCGTACTATGACTGCTACGTTCTTCGGCGCCTTGTCATGAAGCGTCTGCCTCAATACATGATGCAAGTCAAACGAGTACCCGGCAATATCAACGAAGACTTTCAGGCACGATTACAGCGTATGACCAGCTACATTCTGCAAAAGCTTGACATCAAGGATGAGAAGCAACGCGCAGATCTCATGGAAAAGTTCTATCTTTGCTTGGGTAGGATTATCGACGAGTACCGATTGAGGCATGCCTTGTGGTGCAACTGCGGTCCCTCGTGTTTCCACGTCAATCAGAATCAGCAAAACACCGAGCTGTGTGTACAGGATAGATTTTGTTCAGCTCTGATGGTCGAAGCTCATGATGTTCTTGCTGGTGTTCTCGCAGAACTCAGTAGTACGGAGAGAGATACCTTCTTCGGTGTATTACCTTTCTACATCGCTCGAACTCTAGGTGACACCAAGTCGATCGACATTATCCTCCGTTATCTCGAAACACGGCCGTCGCCGGTGCAGGTTGCTCTTACGAATAATGACGGCATATTTTGCATACAGACCATCATTTACACAACGCTGGCCAGCGACAGCGGTACAACTGCTCAAACACTACTCGACTACTACAAGAAGAACCTACCTCCTCCTGAGAGGCACATCTACAACGGATGGGTGCGCAGCGCTACCAATCAGCGTTCTACCCAAAACCTCCACAACCTAAGGGCCGTCCTCGATTTTAATCCTGGGGGCAGGACACGGATCTTACGCGAGACGATTCTCACTGTGTGCGCCTGCGGCAGTCATGAGGATGTCCAAGAAGTCCTCAAGCGCGTTGAAGACGTGGACAAGGGAACAGTGCTGAACGCTCCCATCTTTATCGCTGTTCGATCCGGTCGCATCGCCGCTGTACAGGGTTGCATCCAGGCAGGTGCTAATGTGGACCTCGCCGTACCTTCAAACATCCCAACACTCCACAAAGACACTATCACGCCCCTCGACGTCGCTATGAATCGGAACGATGGCTATATTGCGGAAGTCCTCATCAAGGCTGGCGCAACAATCCCGCACATATCGCAGTGGCCAGGGACTAGGCGCGTGTACAAGGTGTTGCGCAAGGCCGTCTCGGAACGCACTAAAGTCAAGCTGCCGGATCTGAGGAAGTTTCAACATATGAGCCTGGCAGAACGCAAGGATATACAGTATTAGTGGACCGACAGCGAGGCCATGGGCGTGTTTGCAGCTTCGGCGTGACAAGAGTGATGGACTGAAGCCTATGGGAAACAGGCGGCAGGCGGTTTAGTGAGCCTTGAAGTATACATTGTTTTGTTACCTATAGATCTGCCAACCAAAGCAATAGCGAATGCGCCTGGGTTAATCATGGGTCAAGTCGTCGAAACAGTTGCCTTTGTTATCACCATGCCATGTACATAATGATGATAGCTGACGTTGGGTGCCGAAATAGATTTTGGTTGTTGTGTATGCGGGATTGAAGTTGTCGAATACAATAGTGAAAATAGTACTTTTTAAAGAATTCTTGTGTATGCCGGGAGTATACCGAGGGTTTCTTCTAATCATGGAGAGTCAAACGTCGTGGTGAGAAGGATTGAAGATTCGCGAACGCGTCCACCTACGTGTTGACTGAAGTTTAGCGCTCTTGCTCTAGATACCGAGGTATGGCGTCAGCGCTTGCTTCCGCGCGGCTCGGCCCTGCTGGCCATCAGCGCCTGACCTTCTCGGTAACCATCCTCTTTACACTGTCCTATGTTCCCACGAATCAGCTCACTCTCTCTGACTATCTGGTGTATGTTTAGCTAGAAGGCGCCTCCCAATGGTGAAGTCACCCCTTCGTCGTATCCCTGTCTTCGAAAGATAGCGAGACTTCTCGCATCCATGATGCTGACGACGTCGAGGAACTCTCGACGGATTGAAATATGGATATGTGCCTAATATGCGGCTGTCGCAGCTCAAGCTGAACAGGTCAGAATCACTCAATGGCTAACGCGATTAACGCCAATTTCACGCCTGCCTAGGCCACGGCGTGGCAAAGTGTATTTGAGCTCTACGAAATTGTTGTTCCACCCTAGCGCCCTGATGTACCTGTATGCACAGACGTTGGCGCGGCAAAACAATGCTTTTCTCGGCTTCTACGCTATGCGTTTTGCGCTACTTCGACTCCCACTACAGCTGACCCTCAACTTGGCGAGACCATCACCGACCAAAATGTTCAACTGAGGCTTGAGTGCACTGTCGATAATTGCTACAACAGCCAACATCATGGCTCTCCTCAACGACCTTCCCAACGAACTTCTGCTCCAGATAATTGAGTACTTCAAGGGCCAATCTCCAACGCTCGCCCGAGTTTGCCGAGTCTCGCGCAAATGGAAAGATATCGCTACAGACACTCTTTACACTGAAGCGACTCTAAGTAAGACCCCATGGAAGTACCATGACCTTGTAAGAAGACTACTCACACATGGCGATCTTATGCGGCATCTCAAGACATTGAACGTTGCTTGGATGGCAGGGGGCAACTATACCTATGATCGCGGTGAAGACACAGTAAGCGATGCGCCGGAACTCATCGGGAAGTGCACCGCACATATCATTCAGATGGCCGCGCCGGTCAAAATAACGGGACACCTCATTGGTGATCTTGTGCACGGGCGGCGGTCGGCTTTCACAGCGATCGCATTGCAACTCCTACCAAACCTGCAGAAGCTCTCAATACGAGTGATGGATTATACCGAATCCCCGGTTTCCGAGGATAACGACCTTCTCAAGCGACTGTATGGACTCGAGTCTGATCGTTTCGACCGCGCTGATCTGTCTGCTTTGCGAGGCGGTCTGCATCATTTGACACACCTCTGCATTCCCGTCGCACATTTCAATCTCCTCCGGTTCTTCTACCTTCCACACCTGAGGTCGTTAAAGCTAGATCTCACGGACATCTACGGAAGCAATCTGGGGGTACGCTCTCTCGACCGTACCATCATGCCAATAGCTTCGACCAACGGGGTTGAAGATCTAAGTATCCAGAGTGACTGCAACGAAATAGTTCCAGAATGGGCTAACTTCTTCGTCACTCCGCATATCTTACAATGCCTTCATATCAATGGAAGCCTCAATGGCCGACGGCATCTACTAAAGCGATTTGAGATCCAATTCACCCCTGGAAGTTGTCACCGGATATGCGGATCTGATCGCAGCTTTCAGGCTCTGGTTGAGAGCCTGGCACCCGCTTCTATGGAAATTGAGATCCTACGCGTAGATCTCAGCTTGATCTACCCGTACCGGAAAAAGCCAGCATCATATCTGTCCGGAATTGACCCTGTCACATCTCTTTCCGATTTCAGAAACCTGCGAAATCTCGAGGTACCGCAAGAATTTCTTGTACACAGAAACTTTCGACGGAAACCGCATCCGGAGGATGACCTCAGAATGGTACTGCCATCGTCGATCGAGATTCTGAGCATTATCTGTCCCGATGGGATGACTATCATGTGGCTCCTCCAACTCTTAGAAGTTCTAGACTACTTCAAGGCGTTGCGGATGCTTGTGCTCGCATGTCGTCCACACCATGGTCGACCTTCTTCTTGGTTCAAAAAGCGTTGCAATCCAGTTTTCGACAAATTCCGCGATCGAGGCATTTACGTCCGAATCTACGACGCAGAGCTTCCACCCGAGCCCTCGCAGCCTCCTTGGGTGCTCGAAAGATTTGACCTCCTCGGTGAATCGTGCGACTATTGGGATCCCTGTAACGACTATAGAAACTCACTGGGCATCTTGAAGCTCTTTGGTGAGGATTAGAAGATGCAGAGGTGTAAAGAAGGCTTTGGATTCACGAATACGTTGTTGGTACCTTTGTCGATACACGCGCTACAAGCGAAATGGCAGCGCGGGTTTTACGCTTGCATAGCAGATGACGTCGATGCAATAGCCGCGGTAGTACTGGGTGGGCATAGAGGCTCACTTAGCAGAAGAGCGTCGCTCGTAGATATAATGGCCAATTCGATCGCGCTTGTGGACAAAAGAACTCAGCCTCGATATGTGCACGGCTCTTAATGTAGATCGGACTAAAACATATAGCAATGTCGCTGTTAGCTATGTCCGATAGTTCGACATTGGTTCAGAAACGCTTTCAAATCCAGCTCTGCTTCAGTCCCGGTGGTATCCTTCAGCCTTGTTGTCACAATAACTGAGACTTGATCATAAAATCTCAGCACCAAGTGAGGGCACCACTGCCGCCCAAGCTCGTCACCGGTCATGCTAATGTGTAAGCCCATCGGTGAGCGTACTGCGACCGGAAAGCCCATCCAGAGTTCACTCCAATGACTTTGGTTGAAGAGACTGAGAGACCGCCCCCACAAGGCTGAGCCAATTGCATAGAGTATTACAAGGCCAGCAACTATCTCGTGGCGTAATGACTGCATCGTACCCCGCGCGATACTGCATGGCGTTGCCAGCTGATCGACAAGGCTAGACGATGATGCTTCTAGGGGAAATGAGTAGCGCAGTTGGGCGTTGGGTATATTATACACAATCCCAAACACGTTCTTCTTGATATCTTCACCCTACGTGTCAACAGTATATTCTTCCCGGTTTGCGAACCTGTAACACGCTACTTCTCGAGCATCTATATTTACCTCATTGCTCCCACTCCGCTAAGCATCAATCAGTGTACCTCAACATGGCTTACCAGATCGCTATCCTGCCATCTGACATGGGCAAGTGCGGATGCTCCTGTAATTGTAACAAGTGGTAAGAACCAGCAGCACGATAGCTACTTTGGATCAATGTCATTTACTAACTGGACCTTTTGGTATAGCAAAGAAGGACTCTGCTGCGTAAGTCACCCTGATCATGCCCAGATATGGCTTCTTTTCGAGTTTATGAACATGCCTGACCCAATTATTGGTGTACAGGGAGATTGACCAATGATTGTGATGGGACATAGTGCGACTACACTCGCGGACTGGGCCCTGTTTCTAGGGCGTTTAAGGTGATGGGAAGACGGCGGACGAGCAACGCTCTTTATGAAATATTCATCTTGCACACGACCTTGATCATTGAGATTCTATGACGTGTGATGTCTCGAACTTTGCGTGGTATTCTCCATGATGCGCGACTTCGCTCTTTTTCTCTTCATGCCTCAGGTTCTCGCCGCGATGGCGCAGTCAAGATCAACACCTACGCGACTGCCACTTGCGACATCTCCCACTTTGTTCACTACTGCCATCCCGGCGCCTGAGGCAACTCAGGCAACTTCATTATGTCCGCTGTCATCATATTCTTCGTTGTACTTGGGAATGGTCGCTTGGTGCGCTTTCTGGGCTTGGCGGCGTTTTCTAATCACATTTGACAACGCGCATGGCTTCCCAGACCTTCGTGACTGCACTCGCGAGAGGTGGATGGATCAGCACTACTGCAACGCGGTCTACAACTTCGAAGCTGTCTTCCTGACAATAATTTAAACGTTGCTTCTTGATCGACGAAGTACCGTGTGCGTTGTATACCTCATCGATGAGCCGCTAGCGTCTTGGCGACGTCTTTCACGACAAATATGTCAGCGTGATGCTAGAGTTGGGTACAATGAGATGGTATAGTGTAGAAGTGGGCCGGAGAGACGACCTCGGGAATGTATCGCAGAGTCGGAGGTTCGGCGAATCGATGCGCCGATATCCGAAGCCGCAATTTCCCCGAAGCCTCGGCCATGAGCCTCAACTGTCTGGCCAGTCGATGCAGTGCGCCATCGCTATCATGTCCTTTGCCAGACATCATTACGATCAGGATTTGTATGCGATCTCCCGTTGCTTCGACTCGTTTCCCCTCGTTTCCTCACCGTCGCGCCTCCGGGCATTGCTACCGATGTCAGCCACACCATACACAAGCGCACCCTTCGTGGCCACTGATAATGGAAACTGCTGTAGCCAACGTCATAATCTTTTGACGTTGCATATGGTCGCTTCGGACAGATCTCGAAATTTCCAACGAAAAGCGGCGTCACCAGATACTCCTATCAATCGCCAAAACACCCTACCATAGTTGTAAAGACAAGGTCCACCGGGGCTCAGCACGGAAACGAACACGATGCGCATCGTATCAGCCCAACACTGCCATTCGCCATTCGCCGTTCGCCTTTCGAAGTTCGTCGTTCGCTGTCCTCCCGCCTCCTACACATACCACATCGCAATCGACAGAAGAACGCT